AAACTCCTTCCTGTCAGAAAGATTTTAAGTGGCGTACTGTAGTGGTTAAGCCTTAGTGAATTCTTATACACTTCAACAAGCATACTGTGGAAAAAGTACAACACGTGGTTTTAAGTGTCAAAGTGTAATGGCTAAGCCTAACTGAATTCTTATACCACTTCAACAAGCATACTGTGGAAAAGATACAACACGTGGTTTTAAGGGTAAAAGTATAGTGGCTAAGCCTAACTGATTTCCTATACCATTTCAACAAGCACACTGTGGAAAAGACACGGCATGTGGTTTTAAGTATCAAGGTCTATAAGCTAAGCCTAACTGAATTTTTATACCACTTCAACAAATGACTAGCAGTCTTAAGAGTAACATCAGCCAAAAAAATCACCAGGAAACAAGTATTTAGAGAAAATTACAGAATTATCTGATTCACCAGTAGACATATACACGTGGTAGCTAATACAAAAATCGTAAAATATCGTAAATGGTTGTAGGAATTCGTTTGCCTATGTTTTGTTTATTTTTTTCTGCTAAATTTTACTAAAGAACGTTGTTTTGTGTTCTGTTTTGGCAATAGGAATTTGAAGTTCCTTATTTATACAATATGTAGAGAGGTCGTTTCATTGGTCACATTACTATCTAACTTTCATTTAAATGTTTTGTTATTAATTAGTGTTACTAATTCTGTACCACATTAGTTGTGCTCAAATGTTTTAAAAAAACATCAACAGTAGAAAGTGAAAACACAGAAAATGAAAAATTAAATAATATACCTTCAACGTTTGATGCTGTCAGGTAGGAGTGGTTGATAATTCGGATACCTGGCCTTAACGCAAACTGGACAATTTGTCCTTAGAAGCTGTCTGACAGGAATAATGGATAATTCGGACATCTGACCTTAATGCACTCTGGACAAATTGTCCTTTGATGCTGTCAGACAGGAGTGGTTGACAAAGAAGGATAACCAGCCTTTAATACACACTGGATAATTTGTCCTTTAATTCGATCTGACAGGAGTGGTGGATAAAAAATGACACCTGACCTTAGGAAGTTTTCTTTCAATTTCGTGGATTATTTCAACGATACACGCTTTATATTAAACTTCATTATACAATATAATATTTTATGTTGTTTCCTTTTTCTTTTCTTTTTTAAATAAACTGTGTTATTTCACGTAACTTATCTCTATTAAAGTACCTTTAAAATGCATCACCCACCTGTAGTAGTCTTCTCTGCAGTAGATATTGCCATCCCGAGAGAAACACGTTAGCTCGGAGTCCAAGGTAAGTTTACATTCACAACACTTGAGACAACGCACATGCCATTGTCGGTCTACAGCCAGTAGGTAGTAGCGGTCCGCGATCGTCCCGCCGCAGCCAGCACACACTGCCGCCATCCTATTTGTCGTCTCTTCCAAACTCGACACCGTGAGCATGACGGTTGCTCTATTACTTCACTAAGTCAGTCGATATCAGATTTCACAACATTTAACGTCACCTCCAGAACGTAACAATTAACTGGAGAACAATCTTACTTTTGTCGGTTACTTTTAACTGATGAGAGTGGAAATCTTGAATATTTCTGAAACACAGAAAGATAATAAGATACATTCATGAGAATTAACAATGTTTGTTCCAACAAAGAGGCCTAAATCGTAACGATAGCCACATGCTGTTTTGTTTGAACCATATATCATATAGTTCCTAATTGTTACGTGTGTTTACTTTTCTTGAGAATAAATAACCTGAAAACATGTTCTCAACGTGTTATGAATTGATCGATGCAAAGTAAACTGTGAATATCCGGTTACACATTCTGTATTCCACTACGGGGGTTGTGCTTTGTCAGAAATATAAACAGGTAACATGTAAGAAGCCGAAAGACAGCTGTTCTCCATTGTCAGGAAGAAACGGTTTCTCGGGAAAACAATATATCACAGTCAAGTTTGAATAAAGTTTCGTAATATTTTCTTAGGACTATGAAAGCTAAAGGCTAAGAAACATTTCGTGTGATACACAGCACAGTCAGTGAAACTTTATCAGATGGATTAAGCCTAGCAGGCCTGTACATTAACACGTACATCTATAACAAAGCATTCCTAGTAGATCAATATATCAGCAAATACATCTTCATCTGATAAATATTAACCCTAACAAGCTTATATAACTAGTAAGTACATCTATAACAAACAAAGTATTTCTGGTAAGTCAGTATATGAACAAATAATCTTTAACAGGTGGATTAATTCTAACAAGTTTGGACACTAACAAGCATATCTGTCATGATATAAAGGACTGTTTAGTGTAGGCAGTATTAATTAATTTAATTTTGAGGTAATATTTTATTATTGTTTAGTGTGTTTTTTTATAATAAAAGAGTTAAAAACAGACGATTATTAGAAGTTGTGTTTATAATTCATTGATGGTGAGATTATCGAATGTCGCGTGCGATACAATGACGTCGAAAATATAGAGATTTCTAGAAGGCGGGCAGACGATTAAGTGATAAACATATAAATAATGTGAGACGAGCGGAAACATCACACAGACAATAGCAGAAGAGAGTTAAGTCACGGCCAAGAAAAAGTTCGGCGTGAAGTTAACTGTCGTAGAAGTGACAGGCCTAACGATTA